GCCTTGACCGGTTTTACCAGGAACGAGTACGAAATACGAAGTGTATGGCTTACAGGCAAGTTGCTGTGTTCGAAATCCCGAATTCTATTGGACATCGTGAACGTTGTATGTGCATTCTTTTGTTGTTATGACTTTCCTGCTTTGACCAAGAACTATGATCACGTTAAATAATTACGTATTCAAATTTGGTCATACTGAACATTTATTCTTGATCAAATAATTCAGATCGATTCAGCTTAATATCCTTCGTTATCCGTGGCCTTTTATTTGTAATTGGTGGTTTAATTCGTTAAATGCACATAATATCCGTACTAGTACATCTAAATTAATATTTTATTTACATTCGAAATTTGTCACGTGGAAACTATTTGGTAAGGATATACGTGCAAGTTAAAAACTTGTGTCAATCTGGAACGACGTATTGAACGTAAAGGTTGTCGATCTGAGAAATCAGAACAATTATGAAAAAAATAAATGTGTTTGTATTACAAGATTATATTTGGCTATATATTGAATAAAGATCTTTATGTTAACGCTAACTTTTTCAGTATTTATAGGGTTAGCCTATCGATTATATTTTATATAAATCTTTAAAATTGTCGGAGAAATCTGCTAATTGTCCGTGATTTCACTTGATGCAGATGCCTGCAAACCGTCATAATTTAGATCAAGCTTGTGCTGTACACCATTTCTAGATTTTAAAATATACGGTTATGCTTTACTATCATTGGCAACGATTTGAGTAAGTTATTGAATGGGGTGCTCGTGCATTAGTTTCGGAGATTAGTCGTCGAGATCGTAATAAAGAAAATTTACCAAGGCCCATAGAACTTTTTAAATTACATTTAGGCGATGTGCCTGAAGTTCAAAAACCAAAATTACCATTCGGACTTTCTTCTGAAAAAGCTATTACCGACTATCTTCACAAGATGGGTATGTAAATAATTTATTAAAAAATTATTTGATAAAGACAATTATTATTTATATAAATTTTCAATTTAATTATAGGTGAGGTAAAACTTTTTTGTAATTTTATTTTCTAAAATAGTTCTAAAATAGTTTATTAAAGGAAGCTTGTAATTTTTACTCTTATATATATAGTTAATAAAACAAACTGTTGAAAAACATTGGCCAGGAACAGATTTTTTTAAAATGGTGCGTTTAGTAGCCACCATTCCTGCAGGTATTGTACTAGTAATTAAGTTAAATTGATAAACCTAATAATTTACCTAAATAATTTTAAAAATTACATATAGAGTTTACTGAAGAAACGAAGGCTATTATGAGACAATGCATTTATGATGCTAATTTGATTAGTAACAGTGGTACACAAAATTTACAATTCACTACAGAGCGTAAGAATTAATTTTTACACTTTCGTAAAGCATTATGTGTGTATTAAGTATAGAGTTATATATAACATTTAAAATTAATAGCCGAAGCTGCCGCTGTACACTGTATGAAAGTGTTAAATGACCATGGATTAAAAGCTGGATGTATGTATTAAATATTAATTAAATTTTTTTTAATAAGTTATTCAATAGTTTTAACTTAATTATATCCCTAAAAAAATTTTTAGCAACGTTTCTAATTGTTGATTGTGGAGGTGGTACAGTAGACTTGACTGTCCGAAAATTATTGAAAAATAATCAACTTAGTGAAATCACTGAACGTACAGGCGGGTTTTGTGGTGGTAGTTATGTTGATAAGAATTTTATTAAATATCTTGAAGATAAAGTCGGAAAAAATGCGATTTCATATCTACGAGATAAAAATTATCGACAATTTCATTATATGATTCACCAATTTTGTGAAAGAGTTAAAATCCCATTCACTGATAATATTTCAGACTTTAGGACATTTGAATTTGATATTGTAAAATATTGCCCTGCGCTTAAAAACTATGTTAACGGTACTATCAAAGATGTATTAGAAGATGAAGACTAGGTAATTGATATTGATTATGAAACAGTTCAATCTTTCTTTGATCCAGTTGTTAATCAGATTATCAGATTAATAAGCGTACAACTTTATAAAATCAGTGAATGTTCTATA